ACTCAAACTAGCCGCATGCTGAGCAACGACTGAAACCTATGGCGAGTTTGGCTTCGGCATCCAACTGTAGAGAGCAAGAATCTCTTGCCAGCAACCTGCAGTTACTACTTGCAATGTATAATCAGATACCACAAGATTCATTAAATACACCCCGTTTCCACATCAGAACTGATACTTCCCCCCCCCGCCATAGGCTGGTCTTAATTCCTGCCAGTCAATAAATTGTCCTTTCTAGTCTGTGAAGAGAAATGGGACACTTTTAGGGCATGATTTACCTGGTTGCTCTTACGCATCCACTTTTAAGAGGTAAATCACACTCTGGATTCTACAACCTAGATCTACATAGCAGACATCCTCACTTCACAAGACAAATCCCGATCTAAAAATCAGGCAGTTGCCTGTGGGCTTGCCACGTAATGCCTAACTGCTCCTAAAAAATGCCTTCCCTCACCTCATCTCTTCCAGTGGCATAACCCTGCCTGCTCTGTTGCTCTAACCCCTGCACTCAGTACTAGGCTCGTCTGTGAGCCAGTTAGTGTCCCAAACTCTGCAGCTTTTTTGCAGGCTGTCTCCTGTTAGATCACTGAGTTAAAGCAGCTCAGAGAGGGATCTCATGAGTGTGGGTGCTGCCACGTGCTTAACGCCAGAAGTGCACGGCCCAGAGTCTGGGAGCAGGAACTGCCCTTTCTAATTGCAGAGCGCTGTTGTATCAGCTCTGTAGTGTTGCAACCGAAGAGTCCATGGAATTCCAGTATAACAAACCTCTTGGTTTGTCAGCATCCAGCTTCATCTTTTCTAGCTAACCTTTGCTCCATTAAGTTCTACTCTCCTTGGATGCTTCTACCCTCCAGTCATCAGGGAAACTACCTCCTCTGCCCGGAGAGGCACCATCTGCTTGTCTTTGCATCGCCCTCTCAGGGACATACACCCTCCACTCTCCTTCTAGGCAATGAGCCCATTTGACCCAGGCCTTTGGGCAGATTTCTCACACTCATCCATACTTTTCACAGAAAGCTGGGTTACTTGCTCTTCCAGGTTGTTAAAAGGAACCAGGTGACTAATGTAACACCTCCAGCACTTATCACTGATTACTTCTTTTCAGAGGAGAAACCTTACTATTTTTAAAAGCTACATTGACTTTTTTTTTAAATTTACAGAGGAGAAGGACTGATAAAGTGATAATGTAAAAGTCTAAGAGATCCCAGTTAAGCTCACATTTAGACTTTCTTTTTTGAAAGAAATATCCAGCTGCATTTGCTTAGACGGTTTCGTTGTTGTTTGGGTTTGTTTTTTTTTGGGGGGGAGCAAAATTGTAATCCTCAAGACACTTTTTGTCTTCCTTACAAAGCCAAAAGAAGGGTTTGCTTTAGTTCTTGTGACACTGAAGTCATTTATGTGGTCAAACTGAAGTCGCAATTAAGAACATAAAGCAGGTTAGTAACTTGTGCAAATCTTAAAAAAAACAAAACCCAACCCAACCAACATAAGAGTAGCAGAAATAAACCTATTGTTGGATATTGTTTTTAAGAGGAACCTCATCATGTTTAGTAATATACTAGAGATTTCCACTGGAATAATCCTGGTGGTCTGGGGTGCAGCCTCTGACATAGTTGTGTCAGCCAAAACCCACAGCATAGCTGGGCAACCGCAGGGCTCGGAGGAGGTGGTTTTGCAGAGCTAGTGGAAAGCACAGCTGCATCCACACCAGGAGCACTTGGCCAGAGCAGAGAAATCCAGGAAGACGGGGAAGATGCCCTGTTGTAGATGTTGTCTACACACACAATATTCAACTTCATCCTGTTTTTCCTGGTAAAACTTTAATCAAGACCTTTTTTTTGAAAAAGGAGATATATGAACAGCAGTGACGTTCATGAAGCTTCTGCATGCAATTCCTCAGTGAGCAAAAGACTGACAGTTAATATTTTGTCAGCTTTTTCCTGAAGAGAAATGAAAAGTGTATTTAAGATCTATGATCAAACAGTTACAAAAGCTGAAAATCAAAAGTCTGTCATTGTCAAGTCAGTTAAAACCAGCAGGGGGTACCCACTACCAAGTGACTTATGGCAAACGTCAGAAGGCAACATCCATACCTGCTGGTGTGAGTACCAAAGCTTGTAGAATGTCAGAAAGGGAGATGATACCCACAATGCTATCTGCTTCATTCACTACCACCAAACGATGAACCTGCAAGCAGGGAAAATATTTTGAGATACTTGCCTGATTTAAAGTAGTAGCTAAAGCAAAGAAAAACAACCACCACCACCACCACCTTAAAGTAGTGCAGTATGAAGACAAGTAAAACAGAAAGAATGGCTCAAGATGTTAGTAATACCGATCTTGCACACCAATACAAACATGCTTGCCCTGCACAAATGGAAACTAGTGCATGTTGAAAAAGCACGCAGCTATCTGACATGGCAACAAAATCAGATTTGAAGTGCCAGCTAAGCCAAGATCTAGATCTTTAAAATACTTCTGCTCTCAAAAAGTGTCACTCATATCAAACACATTTCCCCAACTTACAGGCTCTGCCCAACTCAGCCTACGATCTCAAAAATTAAGATATAGTAATAAAATGAGGCTTTCTTCTGAAAAATACTTTCTTAGAAAGAGGCACAGCACTAAAATGATTCTTCAGCAGTGACATAGTTGGTGGGATCGAGCACACCCTCAGCCAGTTTGCAGATGACACCAAGCTGTGTGGTGCGGCTGACACACCTGAGGGACAGGAGGCCATCCAGAGGGACCCGGACAAGCTTGAGAAGTGAGCCTGTGTGAACCTCGTGAAGTTCAAGGCCAACTGCAAGGTCCTGCACCTGGGTTGGGGCAATCCCAGGTATCAATACAGGCTGGGGGATGAAGGGACTGAAACCAGCCCTGCTGAGAAGGACTTAAGGGTATCACTGGACAAAAAGCTGGACATGAGCTGTCAACGTGCGCTCGCAGCCCAGAAAGCCAACAGCATCCTGGGCTACATCACAAGCAGTGGGGCCAGGAGATTGAGGGAAGTGATTCTGCCCCTTTCCTCTGCTCTGGTGAGACCCCACCTGCAGTGCTGTGCTCAGCTCTGGAGTCCTCAGCACAAAACAGACATGGACCTGCTCGAGCGGGTCCAGGGGAGGCCACGAAGATGATCAGGGGCTGGAGCACCCTCCCTGTGAGGACAGGCTGAGAGAATTGGGGTTGATTTAACAGATACATTAATTTATGGTTGAGGTCAACCACTCTGCTGCTAGACAGATACGAGAAGAGAGGAGTTCTGAATTATCTGAACAGTCATACCCACCTGACACAGGGAAGAAAGAAAAGGAGGGGAGGGAGAGAATATTGTTGCATTTTTGTTTTGATGAAACTATGTTGGTGACATTTTAGATGGGGTTATTAGTTTTTGTATATGCACATATTTAATAATTTTATTCTTCTCTCACTGTAATGAATTCAAGAAAAACGGATAATGTAATTAATTTCCAGTAAGATCAAGCACTCATCTGGCAGCTAAAAATAGCTTGTAGTTTTGACTGACTCATTTTTACATATAATCTCACTATGTTTAGACTGCACCAAAGGGTAGGAGTTGTTCTTAAAACCCAAATGTCTAAAGCTTCTTAAGATAGTAATAAAAATTGTCTACATTTGAAATTTTTATATCAGCAATACTAAAATTATTCAGTTTCAGGAAAAAAAAAAATCAAGCTGATGCAGAAGTTACAAACAAAAATTGCCTAATGGAGGTTCTAAGGTGCTATTAAAGTGGAAGTTTTACTCATATCAAGTATATGTATGGTTACAGCCCTGAAGATGAAGACAAAACACCTTGTAATTGAAGAAGTTAAAGCATCTAAATAGGGTTGATCACACCTCTGAGACAACTGAAACTGGTAATGCTGATTTTCTTCTGTAGAGAGGCCTAACAGGGGAGGAAGACCTGCATTCTTACACACAGAGGTGAATGAGTAAGTTTCCAGTACTAACAAACAAGATAAACAGCAGCAAAAGAATGGAAAGCACACAGATAAATCATTTACAAGAGCAGTTAGTGAAGGCTTCTTCACAAGAAATGATTTTCTGGCCCAGTTTCACAGTATTTGTATGAGAGCAGGGCAGGACTCTGTATGCATTAACTACCTGTACCCATTAAATTTCCTGAACAACATGCCAACCAACTAGTATAAGCCGGAGCTTAAAGAACTACTGTCTGCAAAACTTATGGCAGGCTTGGAAGAAACTCTATTCTTTCAAAAAAGCTTTGCATTCAGTTCAGTTAGTGTCATAAACCAGACATGCAAATAATTGAGTAGTGTGTAAGAAATGTACTGTACAACATTTTGCACATCCCTATAAGCACCGATAATACAAGCCTATAAAGCAAACCGATACTGAACACATGTGGTTATGAAAAAAAAAATACTGCCACCAAGTAACCAAAATAACTTAGAAGGATAAATTTCTACTATTTATTAGTTTGGTAATACAACTTTAACTTACAGTAAAGGGAAAAATAAAAGGCAAACTTACCTCAGCCTTCACTATTCTATCCACAATGGTCTCCAGTGTTTCCAGCATACTACACTTTACAACACCTTCAAAATACTGAGAACGGTGCTGTAGGGCTTGCGTCACCGTGATATCTAGGTTATTATAGGTTTTTTCAGCAGCAAGATTCTGGGGAAAAAAAAAGGCACATAACACATCTCAGTACTTAGTAACAACGTACTCAATAAAGTAAATATTTTGGCATCAAGTAGATACACATTTCTGGTGTAAATTGAGTCTATTCCAAGTCACATATTAAACAAAGCAGATGCTCTTCAGCTTCAGTTTTTGGGAACAGTCAAGCATGCAATTATGTTAAACACCATATGACAGACTGGGTTAATTGATAAAACTGTTTTGTGATATGCATTAGGCTGATGAAAATCTCCTTCCTTTGCTAACTGATATTTGGCTTGATGTCACTCATCCTGCTTTTGCCACGAGTATAAAATGTAAAGAGGAAGTTCTACAGATTATACTTTAAGAATATACCATTTTTTTCTTGTTTGTTTTTCATATGATAGGGGAGGACACAACTGCTCTGAACACCACTCATTAAGTAGATTTTAGATCGCCCCTAAGAAGAGAACACATTAAGAGATTTTCTTTACCTTTCTTATTTGTGGGGTCAGACTCCCTCTCCTGGACTGCGCTGGCACTGCCATTTGACAACAATTTGTGTACGCGTGTGTGTGTATACATATATAAATAAGTACTATAAAACTAATATAAATGAAAAAACTCATCACCACCACTAAAAGTAAGACGATTAGAAGATTTTGAAAGCCGACATTCTCAACTTTCATTTTAAGAACAGGACCATGCTTGTAGCAAGAGGACTTTGTCCAGACTAGCAAAAGCTTTCTTTGTAGGTGAGACCATAGTGATATTTTGATAGTGTTGGCACATCCTGGTCTATTGATTTTGTGTACTGAAGCACAGAAGGAAGAACAAAGACAGACTTTTAAAATGAAAACACTGGACCAAGCAATAAAATGAAATGAATTTCTGGCTAGAATATACTGTGATTGCTCAAGTTTTTGGACTGAATTACACTGAACATGTCAAAATAGGTTTGGGATGATCATGAAGATACGAGCAGTTTAAGTTAACTCATTTAACCAATTCTGAGTGAAGGACATTAAAAGAACGTGAAAAGCCTCTGCAAACTGAAGTCACCCTACACAATAACTGGTGTAACATAAAGCTATTTCTATACCATCACACCATTCCCAGGTTTCTCCCAGCAAGAACCTGAAAATGGGTTCAGAACTCTATTGAAGCGAAAGAAATCTATCAGCTTAGCCACCTGTATATACAGGCATAGCTTAAAACACTTGATTTAACGAAGCATATTAGCCACATGGTTTGAAACTAAAAATCACCAGTTGAATCTTGCAAATTCTATGGCTTATTGGAAGATCAGATTATACATTTCAGATGGGTTTTTTCCTCCCTTCTTTTAAAGCTTAAAGATACAGTTGAAGCAGACTGACGAAAAACTGGAAGCCTCAGAGGTTTATCTTTTAATAATAGAACCTTTTTCCCCCCATTTAATAAGCAAATCAGTGTATCTAAGGAAAACCACAAATAATCGATAGATGCCCTAACTCTTTCCTATGTTACTAGCTGAGAGCAAGCAATTACGTCCTAAAGCCTTTGTGGTGTTTTTCTTCTTCCTGACACAATTTTTCCAAAGAAATGATACAGTATCTCTAAAAATATCCTGTAATTCTTGTTGCCCCCCATCACTTAAAATGAGAAAAGATGTGAAAATCATAAGGAACCCTCTTCCTTTTGGTATCTTTCTGAAAAAGAATGGGAAATAATAAATGTCCTGCCTCAAATTCTAACAACATAAATTGAAACACTGAACCCAACTGTGACATTTCATTGCTTTGTTATGTCAGATCACTGTTGCTACAGCTACTACCTACTCCCTGACCACCTTTTATGGCACGACAGGAGCTTACACAGTAGAGAATCCCAAAGAAGAAAAAGACAAATGCCTAGAGAAGACAGCCAACAGCAACATTGCAAAATTTTCAGTATTAACAGCACTGTTTGCAGCCAGAGATATTTATAAGCTTAAACTATTTCCATTTGGGACTATTCACTGTATTTCTGAAAGCTTTCTATGGAGCATTTCAGACATCTGGATTCTTCATTAGCACTAGCAGGCTGCTGGAATATGCAACTTGAGCACTTAAATCTCTAAAAAACAATGTAGCTATCAGAAGGCAGGTGCCTACAGCTGGGAGGGGACAAAGATAAAAAAACCTAAATATATATTTTTCAAGTTTCTGAAGACCACAACAATAGAAGACCACTTGCTCTCTGAGGCTGGCAAATCATGGCAAGAATCTGACTACACTTGGAGTCCTGAGGGAAAACCAGGAACAGTGGCCTGGATTAGATCTAAACCAGAAGGAATACAGATGCGATACTCTGGTGTCAGACACTCAGACAAAAGAATGGGCCAAGTAGTTTTAATTCACTGAGAAGGTCAAATCGTACAAAGTACCCAGGCCGTCTGGAGCAATCTGCATTCTCTTTGAAAACAGCCTGTGGTCACGGCAGCGGCTGGGAAAAGAAAATCCCATCTCAAAAATAGAAACAGACGTAAAAAGCCTATGTCCTCTTTTTGTAAGAGTACGGCCAGGTCTAATTTTGGGTAACGTCCAGAGCAGTAGATGCCTGTGTGCAAGTAGTATTACTAAGGATATCTTCTATTAAAAATAATTTTAAAAATTGCTGTGCAGGGCGAATTGAATCAGTTTTATTCAGATAACTAAAGCCTAAGGAACAAAATAGCCAAAACTGACACATTAACAAATTAATTGGCAAATGCTTACTACATATAAAATATTTAATAGACTTTAAGAGATATACTTACTATTACATCAAATTTGGAATAAATATCTACAACTTTTCCTAAAAAGAAAAACCAAAAGTTAATAAAGCGCTTAAAATACAAATTAAGTTTTCTTGCTTCCTGCATTCATTTGTTATAACAACACAGAAAGAAAACAGACAGGTCAAGAAGATGGAAAAAACCCCAAAACCCTAATCAACCTACCAAACCATGAAGCTCTTTGAAGCCTATCAACCTGCATCTTGCTTGAATTTTTCTTTACATTCCCTTTCTCCCCACCCTGTTTTTTATTTCAATTTTTTTTATTCTTTCTCCTCTTCCCTTCCTCTCCCTCCCCACCATCAATCCAGGATTCAGCACCATTTATCTGACCACAGTTCTGTACCCAGAAGACCCAACACACACCTGACTCGTCCACAACAGGTAGTGCCGATATCCTTCTCTCTACAAATATATTCAAGGCTTTAATGATAGGAGTGTCTGGATGTATGAAGGCAATGTTGTGGTAAGTTCCTATTCCAAGTTCATCCAGATTCTTCTTCATAAAGGCAGGCTTTGGCATCTCTGACATCTAGGAAAGTCAGAATTAATGGATTTACAGGGCAGTTTTCTGCATCTACCATGTTTTCTACACCTACCATGTTTCCATAAGATTGGTATATATATTAGGAAATCTATATTCACTCATCCATCTACACACTCCAAATGATCACTACAGATCATTAATCTGCTACTAGATTAATGTAAAACCCAAACAAGATCAGATCTAGAAGCATTACTTCAGTTCAAAGAAGTTCTAAATTAAGACTATGCAACTAAGGTTTTTTTGCTCATTTTTGTAGTAATCCATCACTAAAAGCTTTCAATCCTAAGCTATGTCATTCCCACTGAAACTGGAGAGAGAAGACAGCAAAGCATACTACATGCTGAATGCTTATTTTGAACTGTTGATGCTTTGTTTGGCCTCCTATTCATTCCTGTGACTAACATAAGCTACAGTGAGTAATGATAATCTCGCCTCTGGGAAACGATTAATTTTTCTTTTCATGTAAACAAGCTTCTGAAGCTGAGTAGATATTCCAAAACCGACAGCAAGTTACTCAAATCCCCAAGACAAGTCCTTGGTGTTTAGGTTTCTTTAAATGACTAAAACAAAGTAAAGGTAATGTACAGGCCCTACATCAAGCTTTAATTTCTCTGTTCTCAAGAAGAGATATACACAGACACAATGAATATGGAAGGTTATCATGAAGTTTCTGTACTAAGACTTAAATTACTTAAAGATGTCTACAGGGGGGGAAAAAAAAAATCTGTTAAAGTATAAACTTTAAATACTTACAAAAAGCTGGAGGAACTTGAGGATTCTTTTATGCGTAAGTATATAAAGTGCATTTCCACTGACTGGATCTATAACTGGCAATCTGTGGATTTTGTTTTTGATCAATGAATATACAGCATCAAAAAGGCTGAGGAGAAAAACATCCAGTTGTTTTAATGAATTCTAACTGACAATGAGTAATGTCAAGTGATACATACACATATTTACAACCCTCCTTGAAGTAAATATGAGTAATTATGTGCATTATCTTTAATGTTACAGAAAACATGGATTTCAAATTAACTTTTGCAGCTAGTAAAGCACACCAACAACAATATGCTCATGAACATCTAAAAACAGTGTGGAAATGTGACGGAAAGTGACTTTTTGTGGTAGAAAGTATAGCAGAAATATTTCTTCACAAGAGTAAATTCTTTTTCCAGCGAGGGCTGGGCTCACAGTATCTCTTCGCTCAGAATGGCTGCTTCTGTTCAGAGACAGATGAACAGCGAAAAAAATCAGTGTTCCTGCACTTAATACATCTCAACCCCAAACTTCTATAACATTTTCTAGGAAGAGCATTACAGGGATGAAGTATCCCCACTTGATACACATGGAGTCAAGATTCCCACCACTGCACTGTAGATTCCACTCCTGGAGTTAGCATTTAACTACTCCTAAGTGCTGCAGTCTGATTGTCACACAACCCAAGTCCATTTCTGGATCATGTCTTAAGATGACTTGCTGTATCCTTTTATACACGTCCTACTGTCTGTATTGAAATTCTTCTTTTGCTGCACCTTTGACTGAAAACAATTACACTGTTTTATTGGCTTAACGATATTCTTTGTAACCAGCTACCATTCAAAATACATTCCTTATGATTCAATTGATCAACTTATTCATGACTTAATAGCAGTTCTACTGAGGATACAGCATGTCATTACTTCGAGGTAATCACTAGAGTTCCCTTCACCAGTTTCCTTTGACAGGGCACAAGCAATCCTATTCCACAAACTGAAAGCAAGAATCAGAACTTAACAACTTGAGAACTACTTAGTTGCTGAACAGGAGAGTGAAGTGATCAACTAAAGGTCTCTCTCAGGTTAACTTTAGTAAATAAGGTGTAATGGCAGTTTAAAAACTCTCTCTCTCAAATTCCATCAAGAAGAAAAGGGCAGTCATCTATATTTCAAGGAACAGAACCTAGTAGAAGAACAGAAGAAAACACACAGATACTGTCTTTCCTTTAGTTAAAGAAAGTTATTTGTGTTGAAAAGTACTGCACGTTTTCAGATACTATGATTGTTGAAAACAAGACAGCTGAAAGGCTCTGTACAGATTTTAATTTTCATGAAACAAACATGACTTGCAGGCTAGCTTGAAGGGTCATTGTGTTGCCTTTCTTGCATGTTTTTGGCAATTAATTTTGATCCATGCCTAGTTCATTTACCAGAACAGTTACACTGATAAAAGACAAAAGTTTAACTAAAAATCTAAAAAAAGTCCTCACTCACAAAAAAAAGCTCCCACACCTTCTTGATTCTATTAAGAGACGATCCATTATTGTACTCTAGTTTACAACATAAATTGTTTCTTATTATACAAAGAAGTCTTAAATGCAGTGTTGAGATAGTGTTAGTTTATTTCAACTTAAGCAGATTGAAAAGCAAAATCCTACCTTGCATCTGGGGAGATGTTCACTAAAGGTTTAAAGGTCTCTTGTAAATAAAGCTCTGTGTAGAGAAAATTAACAGACCATTACCACTTTATACGAAAACATTTAGCTTTTTCATGAAAGCATTTTATGAGTTCATTTGTACAAAATTAAGTGGAAGACAGCAATACATACAGTCACTTCAGTTATTCTGCGACTTGTGCACATTCCTCTATATTGACTTTAAAAAGGCAAATTTTAAAAGCAGGACTAAACTGGTTACCACCAGGGGTCACTACAACAACAGCAATTAATCCTTTACCAGCTCCTCTCCGGTGAGGATCTGCTGCATACAGTACTTGTACATACTATTTCACAGCATATAGCGTAACCTAAAGCCTCCTGCCTGCATTCAGCACTGCTGTTCACACCCAGCACGTTGTATGAATTTCTGCTCGCATCACGCTGTCACTCGGGCACAGCTTGCTGCTCAGCCAGCAGTTCACTCAAGACGTAGGGTCGTTGAAGCATTCTGCATCCTGGCTTAGATGCATTTCCATCCCACATGTGCTCATCAACTCTACAACCATATAGGCTGCCACAGTCCTGTTTCTTTTTTTCATTCTTAAGAGCGAGATGGTTCTAACCACGAACAAGTGGTGAAGTAGTATATAGCCCAGATCACTCTAGTTCACATACTGTTTCAGACAGAAAAGTGAGCAGCAGGAGCCAACAGAGAAGCTTTTACTATTTCTGCTTTCATTAAAAAGTATGTGGAGAGAGACAAGCTAAGTCTACGATTAAAAATCCACTATACTGAAAAATATTAGAACATATTAAATCACCAAACCAAGTAAGTAAATCTTCTTACCCCTCCAGGTTTCTATCTTGTGCTCCTCCAGTTCATAAATCTGAACCTACAATGGGTAGATGGAACGTTTAGCTTGAAGTATTAGTTTTAAACCAATCATCATTAACAATATTACAAATACCTGAATAATTCCCTTACATTCCCAACATCAAACTACCCCCAAGAGTCCAGTCTTTGAAGTTTAAAAAAACCAAACCAGGACACAGTCACACCATCAACTTCCTGCTGTTCAGCAGCTATTTCAAAGTTCTTTGTCAAAGGATTGTACAACCTCCCTACAGTAGCTCCTTCGGTCTTGCTGATGGTTTTCTACAAATGTTTCAGATGTGAAAGCTACCTTTCTCTAAAGGTATCAAGCTGCAAGCCAGCCACTTGTAGCAGTAATTGCACTCACTATAGCCTAGGCCAAAGGTGCAAAAAAAACCGCTCTTCTCTGTCAGGTACCTCTGCAAACACTCCTGAAGCTGGAGAGTTTATAGGTGAAGGGTGGAAGTTCTCCTACTACATTTATCTTCGAGCTAAAGGAGACTACACTTAGACTGCACTCTGGTGAATCAGCATCCTTTGAGGAGTATAAGGGAACGTTAAATTGATACGCCATAATTGGACTACTCAAACGTACCATTTTTGGCTGACATAAGAGATGCCTACAGAAGTTAAATAATCTTCTAGGGCACTTGACAAAAAAGGCCATTAGGACAGTGGATTGCAGTTCAGAAGAGCTACTGAAGTGATCAGAAGAGCAGGAGACCACTTTAGATGTCGATGAGATGAGGCTAAACCTAGTTCTTGGACCACACTATAGGGAGAAACTACCTGGATGTTCCTCATCAATCATTTAAGGATACGATCTAGTACGTGAACAGCAACATGCTTCACACTGTATGTCTTGTGATGCATATAGAAAGAATGACTAAAATACTTCAGAGTTACATTTTCAGCATAGTTTTACCTATTAAGACTAGAGCATTCCCTGACAGAACATTATTTTAATTATTTTTTTCATAGAAGACTGCATCGATCACTTAACCAAGTGTTGTCACTTCTCAACTATACCTCCTTACTGCTGCCATTTTAAGGACAACCTATGGAACGATGTTAGACAACGTAAACAGGAGTGACAGCAGTCAGACCTTAGGTAAAGTTACCTCAAAAAATTGGTAGTATTGAGGTTGAACTTTATTGCAATATGGATACCATTTTAAGGAAGTTACCAGTGAGCAATTACTTTTCATTTTGCTTCTCCTCCCACCCCTTGTAAATCCCCCAGGGGAACGAATAAATAAATAAATCAATCTTTAACAAGAAGGAAGGACAGTGCACCACACTATTGGCATCTGACAAGAATTTTACTACAAATTTCAAGTTAACATGAGCTTTGAGAGGCTTAATACACCAGATGTCTGCTTCATCCAACTGTTGTTGATTTTTTTAGCTAGTAGAACATAGTACGTATGTTTTGGTTGGTAGAGAGAATTGTGATGTAATAGGAATAAGAAAAGGATGTAAAAGTTTGTATGAACATGCAAGCTAGAGAACTTAATCAACTGACTGCCAATGGGAATTTTAAGTTACAGTTAATTGAAGTCAACATATCCAACTGATTGTGCAAGTCAGCCATGTAACTAAAATATTTGCATATTTAACAAGTTTAACTTGTTTATTCTACACTATCACTCCAGAACAGAGTAACCTTTTAGCACATCCAGTCCTCTGTAAGCTAGAACTCTGCTTAACTCGACACACTGCTTTCAGAATAGATCTGTCAGACTTAGGAGACAAAGATGATTACATAAACATGTGAACCACACACAGCTATATATACACATGATTTTTAAATACAATGAGCTTTTTCATGTAACAAAGACAACCTCCTCAAATTCACCATGTACACAGAGCTCTGATTAGTATTGAAATACGCACTTTTAAACAACCTGAGCACAAATAAATACAGTGATCAATAACCAAGTATTTTCCTTCATACTTTTGATACTGCATCTAGTTTTTAGTAAGTATGTTAAGCCAGATCCTTCATCCCAAATGGATTATTCCTTAGTTGCAACACCAAATGGAGCCTCATATCCAAACCAAAGGCTATCATTATGGTAAGCACCACACAAAATATAATAAATAGTAGTACTCATTAAGGAAATCCCTCATGTTTATACATGTATAACTGAAGCAGACAGATTACGTTATCGGCCCAAGCCCATAGGACCTTCATGGCTAAAGCTGGGAACTGAACCCAGGTATTCAGATACCATTCTATCACCTTGCTGAAAGCTAGCTGTCCTTTCAAAAAACCCCCACAGTGAGCATACCCGTGACATACCTAAGCTTCCAAAGACTTAAATAATAACAAGAACCATCATCAATCTTTCAGTTTGATATTTCAGTTTGATATTTCAGTCTCTGTACTCTATGGCAAATGATAAAAGTATAGCTTATCATACTCACCATTGGAGACTTATAGTATCTATGCAGTATGTTAATGAAATCTGTAATTGTTAACATTCCTGTAACAAGCGATATATAAAAAATTCTTCAGATATATACTTAACATATAGAACTTCCAGTTATTTTCTTTATTTCTATTCACAATATATTATTTAATAAACATTAAATCCATGTAACATACTATTTGTATTGGACTAATCAACAGTGGAATTCCCTAACTATGCGTATGCACTGGCACACTGGCACAATACTTCAGAATAAAAACACACATCTGAATTAATATTCAAAAATAACTGATGTGCCTCTCCTCTTTTTCAATCGGACTCAAACAAAACCTTGAATCCAGACTGCATCCACCCCCAAAAGCATGGAAAGAAAAGAGGGGGTTTAGAACATCTTTAAAGGCTGGAGATCTATCCTTGCCTGCCTTTTTTTTTTTTTTTTAAGACACATTCTCGTTGTGTACTTGCCAAGTCAGGCAGACTCTCAGACTCAAATGAAGGAACAGTATAATCCATTTTCTTGAATATTACTTATTAAAGAACTTCATTCAATTATTTCTACAGTAATCTTCAACATGTGTATTGAAATGTAATTTATAAAAAACCCAAAGAGATAGTACATCTATAGTACATACATTTTAACCACCAACACCAAACTATGTAATATAATATTGATGATTAGTTTAGTTACCTGAAAATTTTAATCTTTTTTGAGCTTTCAAGTTCTAAATTTGAGAAGATGTAATTGCTCCACTGTTTACTACTCTTACATCTAAACTGAAGAAACTAAGAAACGGGGAAGGGAAAAATTAATCCAGAGGTCAGTTTTAAATCACTAGAGCTAGTTACAGACAAAAAATAAAATTAAATATGAAAGACACACACCATTCCTATGATGTATTGCATGAAACTACTGCTCCTCCCCCCTTGGATTTAAAATATTTTAACAAATGCCATCCATTTCCAAGAATCCTCAATCTATATATTCCAGGTCAAGTACTAATATTTGTCACTGCCACTATGACCCTGCTCTCTAACTGCAACAGAGATCCGATTTTGGAAGATTATTGTTGTGGCAATTAGTTACGTGATTTTTAAGAAAGCAATACATAGATCTAACGTTTTTCTTCCCACATGGGACATAACTGTAGCATTCAACACTAGTGCTGGTATTTAAATATTTCTCAGTGCACCTTACTGAGAACATGAGAGAAAGACACGCTTGTATTGCACATATATTAGGATATTGTAACATTAAATTCTTCTTTTTATAGTTCCTATTTTTGAACTTCCATTTTGTGACCATTACTTTTTTTGTTTAACTACACAGTGAAATGTGCATATTAGAGACAAATTTCAGAAGGTCAGGACCTAGAAGAATCATCAGGATTCTCAAAGCACAGCAACACTAAGAAAGCTGGCAACATTTCACTCCTCACAAGGAGGAAAAAGAAACCCTCTTTGCCAGTCTATCTCCAGGATGGTAGACAATGGCTAGCCCCAGGCCACCTTCTGCAACAGTAAAACATCCTCAAAATTCAAGTAATCCTGAATAATGTTAGAACTACTTACCTACAAAACTCTGTTTTTTACTCTCCCACAGCGGAGCTGCTCTCACACCATTTGCCACCAAGGCAAAAAAGGCTTTCTTTACCTGCAAAAAGAATGAACAACTAAACAAATCTTTGCTTTTCATTTAGCATACTAGACACCAACAGAAGGGTTTCCCCAGTTACTAGGAAAAAATGCAGTATAAACAGGTAGCTGGTACTCAGAACAGAACAAAAACCACACACTAAACAAAAACCTTAAGCATTTTACTGCTAAAATGATTAAAAAGCTTAGAAAAAAGCTTAGCAAAACAGAAAGAGATCTGGTTTTGCTATGTGAATATTCTATGTGAAAGCCTCTGGTGAAGAAGTAAGCCGATACTGCTGAAAAGGTATGCTCGCTAACTTCAAATTTATTCCCCTTTGGTACTATCCATAAAAGTTATACCCTCTAAATCATGACATTGAATAAATCTGTAATGAACATAACTATCACAAGTGTCCAGCTTAAGATACAGCTTCATATTTGAAGGTTGTGCTTTATATTCTAGTTAATGTTTAGCAACAGTTGTATGAAGACAAAAGATTGAAGCAATAAGTCTCATTTCCTTTCCAGCTTTTAGACTCAAGATTTATACAAATTAAAACAGATTGTTGGATTATTTTAAATATATGTCTGAAAGTTAAAAAGGACTAGGTAGCCTGTTCTGGTGCTAAAGAAATGTAACTAAATCCTTTCATTTTTTAATGAATTAACCCATTCCAATTTCTGAATCAGAGATTACAAGGTTGTAGCACCATTCTCAAAGAAAGGAAAAAACTTTCCTGTGAACGCTGGCTCTCTGAAGCATGAGGCAGTCAGGCTCTAGTGCACCTTGGAAATCCCAATCGCTTGGTGATATGCTTGAGCACATTATCATTCCTGTCCTGCCCACACCCCTAAATTGTCTTCACATGGAAAACAGTACAGAAGTGATGGGTCTTTGGCCGGATCTTGACCCGGCACAAAACTAGGACACAGACAATCTGTATCTCTACGTCCACGAAACTGGTCCTCAGTCCAGATAACACAGAAGCAGCAATTGCTTGACAACTGCAATCTGAACAGACCATGATTACCACTGAAGTGGTATCTTCAGCGTCTACTTTAAATTACGTGCCAAGGGGCTCCTGTCCACAACAGATTCAGGAATAAAAGGGCTTCACCGTCAATGGAATCAGCATCCAAAAAAGTAGGGACACACACACACAAAAAAGTAGATAAGAAAAAAAAAAGCCAGCCATTGTTCCCTACAGCCTTCTTGACAAAGTTCGCAAAGCCATCCACACAACAGCCAGTGTCATACAGTATTTGACAGAACCTCCATTTAGACTCACTGTTACAACGTAGCAGTGTAAATTTCTAAAAGTTTGTCAGACTCCTGCACCAGAACACACCACCTCTGTCTACGCTTCAGTAATGTGCAGTAAACGTTTCAAATGCATGCGGTTATATGAACTCCAGTCTTTAAGATCAGGCTTCTGAAAGGCATCCGTATTTCTTGCTACCTCTACGCAGCCTGACTGCCTTCCCTCTGACCATGAGAAGCAAACCTACCCTCCTGACCTCAGCAGCTGACAGTTCTCAAAGCTCCCTCTGGACTTTACAGATGCTTCTACTATATCACCAGTGAACAGGAATAATGATCTGCTTCACAACCACCACCCCTAAACTGCATTAAAACTGAAGAAGCCACCTGAGGAAAAAATACCCAGGACCATAAATATGACCATAAGATACACACCACATACTATTTATCCAGAAAACGGTTAGACAGAGGTATTCAGCCACCTCGCAGACACAAGGAGGAGTCAGGCAAAACAAACATTACCAAATCCACCACAGGAGCACACTAACTCATATGGAAGGCTGAAACCACAAAGAAACCCTCCAGGCAGACACATGAAGTGTTCCCACATAACAGCATCACACTTCAAGTTAATGCAGCAAAAGCTAACAGCAGTGAGCTATTTGAGGAGCAGATATGAGATGGAAGTGAGTTCACACAGAGTAACTCCACCTTGGGGCAAAATAAGTTCTAACCATTCTTCATCAAAAAAGAGGAAACGGACACTCAAACTGCCTGAAACCGAGAGCCTTCAGCTTTGATATCTTTCCATAACAATAGCCATCACACACGTTAAGGGTCACTGCTAACTTATGTCCCAAGTCTTCCACAAGAGTAAGATGTTCAAGCTGTATCAGAGCAAGAAGGTAACAGCTCATCTACTAAAGCCAGGGGAAAATAGCTTTCTTCCGGATGGTAATCATGAAAAAAACCTCCTCAAGCCAATTTACAAACCCTGTAATTGATAACCTAGAAAAGAAGCATGCCCAGAGCCAGCTACAGGATTTCAGGCAACCTCCAAATTCTTGCTACTACTTCTTTCTTAGACACAGTAGCAGCAAAGTGTACCGCCTAGCACAATGTTCAGATGGGTAAGATGCTAAAACTGAAGTATTGTTTTAGATTCAGAAATGATACTTTGAGAGACAAATTCCAAAGATATACTAGGCAAGAAGCTGAGCTTGTAGACAATCCAGAAGGAAAAGAAAGTTTCCTCAAAGGATCAGTTCTTGCCCTGATTCTGTTTGATTCATTTGCAAGTTATCTGTCTCCAAGAATCTCAAGAATCTTCAGTTAGATGCCATCTTGTCTAGCTTTAAAAGACATTTTTGAAAAAACTGAGGGCTGCTGAATAGATACAGCTACTGAGACAGCTCAGACTTAAATCCTTCATAAAAGACAATGAGTTCAGTTTGGGTCTTAGGATATTAAACATTTGATGCAATAAATCACCAAAATTTAGTAAAGAAATACTTAAACTCATCCCTCTGGGCTGTCCTAGACCACAGCTTAAGTGACATTCCTATTGTTTTCTTTCGTTCTATAGCAGAAAGTGTTATACAGTTATATTTTAGATAAAACAACAATGTCATCAGTTCTTAATGTTAATACTTGTCTCTTATTTAAGTAAGGTAATTACGAAGCAAAAAACCCCAACTTCATTCTGATTTGCTAAAACTGCTTGCAAGCACAAACATACACTCATCCACTTACATTTTCCTTTAGTTTCTGTGGTTTACCAATTTCAGTTGCCCAAAGTACTGCTTGGTGGCCAGCCAAAGCACTGGGGTGTGGAGCTGGGCTTCCAGCCAGCACACGTAGACGTTTCAGTGATGTTCATGCAGAAAATGCCCACAAGGACCTTCCTTTGAGATTATACATAGTCTGTAGCCTTTGAAGATCTCTACCATGTCCCATCTTTGGGCCTCCAACAGCGTTGTTAATTCTTGACCCCGCCAGCGTTGCTCTTTCTCTGATATTTAGTGTTGGACTGGCCTGACCTTTACAAAACCATTGTTCGTCAGCCAGATCCCATAGATTGTTGCTGTTCAACACCATGTACAAACATTCTTTAAACAAAGCACTTTTGTTCTTACTAACCATGTAGTGGTCCTAATAAACACAATGAACCATTAAAATAGGATTTATCTGCCCAAATTTAGAGGTTGTTTTGACATATACACTGATCTTGCATACTCACTGAGTGTCTTCATAGCCAACCAGAGGAAACAGTCATTTCTGTGGCATGACTCACCAAGATTGTGTCCCACAGATGCCATTTCCCCCCTCACTGACTATAAGATGTCTAGACATTTACAATTAGATGAGGAATCTCATTTTACACGACCACTTGTCTTCTGTCCCTTAAGTAGAATGGTCATCCTATAGCTAAGGAACACAGCGACTGAAGTCCTACATGTATGATAGATCACCCCAACAACAGGTGCTATTACACTACAGTGAGTAGAACAGGAACAAGCTTTGCTTGCTACAGGAACTCATTACACTGAGTATGTCGAATAAAAGAACTGACTAATTAAGTTATTCATAATATATGATATTATATATAATAATTTATAATATTATACAGTATTTCCACTGTAAGTCTTGAGAGGGATGTAGCCTCTTCCAATATAACAGTCATTACCAAGAAAGACTGAGTTAGACCCATACATATTTTTCAGGTAGAATATTTGGAAGACCTTGCCCCCTACAGTTAGTGAGCTACAGAACAGCTTGATTATCAGGCAGTGACACCAGAAACGGCAGTAGCAGACAGAAGATTTCACCAGACTAAAGAAAAAGGTTTTTCTCACTGATGGGAAATACTGGAAGGGCCATTACTCATTATGATATACTAGACCAGTAATCTTACAAGCCCTTGCAGAAATGCTCTCAAGTAAACATCTGTGAATGAGGGAAGCTTCTCAAAGGAAAACAGGATGAGCTTGTGTCCAAAAGGTCAGTGTATATACACCTCCCCACCCTCCCCAACACTTTTACCTTGTTTTACCTAACACTATGTTACAAAAACTGTAACTCACGCATAAGTGACCAGAGGGTTTCAAACTTGTCTTCCAGGACTGTCCCATAAGGTAAGGATGGTGACTGCTGCTATTGCAATCACTTGTTTCATTTGCCTTACAAAAGGTTCTTGTCCTTGACAAGATGTTGAGAGAGAAGACCTGTCACAGTTCCTGGTGCTTAAGGGTCAGTCAAGAATGCTACTGTGCTGAAAGACACACAACCCAGTGCCATTGTCTCAATGCCAAAGTTAACTTAGAAAAGCTGGAAGGTAGCAGAAATGAGAAACAATTATGGAACACCTTCAGATATACCAGTACCAAGCCAGAGGATGATGCAAAAGACAAGTAGCATGGACAGCGTTAAAAGATCTGCCAGAACTTCTGTGGTATGGCTGCCATCCAAAGGCAAGATAATGAATGTGTACCTCTCTTGCCTCATCTTTCACAGTATAAACCAACACCAGGGCATTAGCTTTACTTGCCTGAAAAGCCCCTAACCCCAAAGAAATGTCTATTTTATCAAATCAGAATAGTAAGAAAGAAGCTCCTTCTTTTATTTTTTGACAGAGAGCTCCCATAAAAGCAGTACCATACCCAGTTGATCCTTGACACTTATCTCCAGTTCCTGACGGATGGATGCTCAAAGGTGAGCTAGAACATTTGTCATCATATCCACTGGATAAGTTGACA